CCCTCCGTGAGCTACACCCAGTGTCCAACAAGTCTCAGTGAGATGAACCAGGTACCTCAGTTGGAAATGCAGAAATCACCCACCTTCTCTGTCAATCACACCAGGAGCTACAGACCGGAGCTATTTCTATTCGCCCATCTTGGAAAGGAACTTTTTCAAGAAAGTCTCTTTTAAATAGCAATTTTAAAAAGTAAAATATTTAGGAATAAACAGCAATGTTCAAAACCTACATAAAGAAAAATAAACATTCTTAAAACAAAAGTAGGACTGTGCAACTGAAAAGAAACATCCTGTCCTTGGTTAGAACATCTCAACATCAATAGGTCACAAACTTACAAATCATAAAGCTTTTCATGGAGTTAGACAAGTTGATACTGAAGTTCGAATGGAAAAAGTTCAAGAAAAACTGGGAAATACTGAAAATAAATAGAGGGGACTACCTCATTAACACATACTACAGGCATTAAAACATACTATAAAGCCTCTATAATAAAAACAGTGTAGGACTGCTACATGAACAGGCAGAAAAGTGCAAATGAACAGAAAGTCCAGAAATAGATTCCACTACAGATAGAAATCTAATCTCTGTAAAGGTGATATAATAAATCATTAGCACATGTATAGTCATTTTAAACAATAGACAAGAAAAAAAGATAAAATTCAATGTTTCTCACATCATACATAAAAATAAACTGCAAATGGATCAGAGATCTAATTGTAAGAAAACTACAAGTATTTTTAAAAGCGTGAGGGGAGGGTGGGGGCAGGAGAGAGGGATTCCTCCTAAACTAAGAATTCATAAAAGGCTTTCTCACTAGGACTAAAGTACAAATATAAAACTTTTGCAGGACAAAAATACATCAGAAAATAAATAATAAAACAGGTAACAAACTGGAAGGAAACATTTGCAACATATATCACAGATAAATGCCTAATATCCCTACAAAGAACTTCTAAACTGAGGGGGAAAAGTCCAAATATCCTATGGAAAGTGGCTCTTACACATATGAAAAGACATTCAACTCCACACATAAAAGATGAATGCAAATTAAATGTATCCAACATTCCATTTCTCACCTATCACTTGGCAAAAATTGAAGTTTCACAATGCACTCTGTCTGCAAGGCTGTCGGGAAATAGGCACTCTCATACACTGCAGTGTGGGAAGACAAAATGTTACAGCCCCCATGCAGGGGACTGGGTAATACTCTAATACAACCATGTAAGTATTTGCCCTTTGAGCCTTTTTGTTGTTGTTGTTAGCAACAAAGTCTCACTCTGTCACCCAGATTGGGTGTAATGGCTCTATCATAGCTCACTGCAGCCTTGAACTCCTGGGCTCAAGGGATCCTCTCAAGTAGCTGGGATTACAGAGGCAAGTCACTGCACCGGGCTTAGTATTTGCCCTTTCAACCAGCAATCCCATTTTCAGGAATTTGCCCTGAAGATACACCTCTAAAACTATGAAAATAAATATCACTGCAGCATGTTTGTAATTGCAAAATATTGAAAACTACTTAAATGTGCAAGCATAAGAGATTGGTTGAATAAACTATGGCACACACAAAGTAGTAAGCACCTGCAAAAACGAATAAGGAAAATCTCTACAAACTGGTATGAGGTAATTTCCAAGAGATACTGATACATGAAAAAACTGAACTGCAAAAGAACATACATGCTACTTTTTAGGTAAAAAAAAAAAGAAAAGAAAAGAAAAGAAAAGAGACATAAATATCTCTGCATATCTTTATAAAAATGAGTAAAGCCCAGAAAACAATAAAATTGGTTTCCTACAAAGTATGAGGTGGAATGCGGAGGACGGAGTGACAATTTTCTGGTATTTTTTTTGTACAGTTTTACTTTTTGGAAAAGTAAGTAATTTTCTACCTATTCAAAAAATTAAATCAATAAGGATATAAAGAAAAGGGGGCACAAAAGCTGAAAGAAAACTAATACGAGTGAACTATATTCCAAATTAATATTATAACCACACTTAAGGAATAAGGAAGAAAGAACTAAGTAATTATGAGAATAGTATTTGGTTACATATTCACAGGAATGAGTACAGAAAGGAGGGAGAACTTCAAACAGTTTTCAAACTTTTTTGGTGTATTTGTTTCTTATATGATTAACCAATTTTGAAACTGTTTTAGATCTATTATTTAGTTGAACAAAAGAGTAAATGTGTTGATACTGTTGGAAGCCAAGGTTCTCACTATGAAAGATGGGACATACAAATATGAGAAGCAAGCAAGAAAGAAACCTGCATGGATGGATTAGAATTAGAGAAACTGGTGTATCTCTAAATAAAAAACAATATGCAGATGTATGTGTCCACATATGTTTTTCAATATGCATTTGTGTATATAGGTATAAATGTAGATGTATATGTATATATAAAGCTTATATATTTCCTACCTCTCTCCTCTAAAAGGGCCTAAAAGCCAAGACCCAGTACAACACACTAGTGCCAAGATCTTGTTCGCTAATATTATTCCCCACTAAAAACAATCAGAGCTTCTCAGAGAAATGACTGCTTCCAAAGCTGGGGGAGAACATATAAAAGATAACCCTGCAACAACTTCTTTTGTCAGAAATTAAGGAAGCACTGAAATATGCGATGGAGGACTGTCATGCACTTCAACTAACCAAACCTGGGCAATTTGAGTACCAAAATCTCTCTGACTTCTAAGGCTGTTTGGTCTTCCCAATCTTACCTTTTGAAATTCTGTCCCATAATTGTCCTTTCCTCTGTTTCCCCTACCTAACCAGAAACATCCATCACTACAGTTGTGTCCTGTCTCTAGCACTCCATGATACAGTATTCTGGCCAACTTTTTTTTTTTTTTAACGAATCCACAAAGAAAATCCTATGTTCTGGATTCCAATTCTTGTACATTTATCAGAATGTACTATCCTCACAATAAGCAACTAGAGGGCAGACTGAGTATTTTTCACTACTGTTTGCCCAAGGCCAAGTACAGAGCCTATTCTTTATTAGCAATTCGGTAAAAATTTATTCAACTGAAATGTTTAATTTATTCCATTGCTCATGGTTTTCCTCTTTCCAGCAAACACTAAGAATAGTCAATTTTCTCTCTTTCATTCATCCATCAAATCTGACTGGGATCAGTTCTATGCTCACTTTCTAATTCAGCAGTCACCAACTTTTTTGGCACCGGGGACTCGCTTTGTGAAAGACAGTTTTTCCACGAATGGGGAGGGAGGTGGGGAGAGATGGTTTCGAAATCAAACTGTTACACCTCAGATCATCAGGCATTAGATTCTCATGAGGAATGAGCAATCTGGATCCCTCGCATACACAGTTCACAATAGGGTTGGCACACCTATGAGAATCTAATGCTGCTGCTGATCTGACAGGAGGCAGAGCTCACCTGCTCACCATTCACCTCTTGCTGTGTGGCCCCATTCCTAACAGGCCATGGACCAGTCTTAGTCCATGACCAGGGCGTTGGGGACCCCTGTTCTAAATGATGACTGCTCAATCACTCCAATCCTCAAAAATGTCTGCATCTTTAGTCCCTTCAGTACACAAGAGTCATACCAGTACCATTTATATGTAGCAATATTAGAAAGTATGTTTTATGTGGCATAACATCACAATTTCAGAAGTTGTCCATATCTCTTATTTTGAGTAAGATAAATAAATGTGGAAAGAAGTCAGTTTGTGCACATGTTAAAGGAAAAAATTTAAAAGACTGTTTGTTTGTTTTGAAAAAAAAAAAGGATGCTATAGTCAAGTAAATTTGGGAAATACTGAATTAAACTAAGTTACACCAGGTTCTCAGGTCTTTTAATACATCAGCATATAATGGGATTCTCTTATGGGAAAGTATTCAGTGCTTTCCAGATTTATGTGACCATGGGATCTTTACATTCCAAGCATCTCCTGGAAAAAATATATCATAGAACACACTTTGGAAATGTTTACTACACTATGACTGGCAGAAAACATCTTAAGTATCTGTGAACATGAGAAGATGCTGCCATGGCCAAAAGAAAACACCTGATTAATACTACCAGGGTGACATGAAGCTTTCTACATAATATACAAAGTAACTACTGATTCAAATTGCAACTGCTTAAAGACCAAAAGCTTATGAGTTCTAAATTAACTATCTGTCTACTCCTGGGCCCCCACTAAAATTCTGGTGTGAGTTTCCACTTCCTCTTCCAATTCTTGAACTACAGATAACCAACTCCACTATGAGCACCCCACAATTACAACACACATACACACAGAAAAAATGAGAGGTCTGAATTATGGCAGTGCTTCTCAGAGTTTAATATTCATACGAATGACCTAGGAATTTTGATGAAACACAGATTCTGATTTAGTGGGTATGGGGTTAGGCCTGAGATTGTGCGTATCTAGGAAGATCTCAGGTAACACCAACACTGTTTATGTACAGACCATAGTTTGAGTAGTAACTGTATAATGCATATCAGGACAAAATGTTGAGGCCTCTAACTCATATCCAATGGCTATGTCTTCCAAACTACTTTCCAAAGATTTAATTCTTCCATCGGAAAACAATTAACTTTCATTCATTTATAAAAACAGAAACTGTACACAAAACTGAAGATACACTTAAATCCCTATTATCTGCTGATGATTACGTTTTACTAGAAATGGCAGTTTCCTGCAGAGAGCCATAAAAGTACAATTATCTAAAATCATTTTTAATCTAAATCTTCGTTCTACCTCTACTTCCAAATGCCCATACCAACACAGAAACACACTGACTTTCATGGCAGCCAGGAACTGTCTCCAATTTTACTGACTTACAAGGCTGCAATTGTAGGCCCTGCCCCCAACCAAAAAAGACATGTATAAAGCCAGCATCTTTCTCAATGATTTACTAAAAGCAGCAGCTCATTTTAATAAAACCATCCTAAAACATAAAATTGATTGAACCAACTGCTGTGTTGGGCATACACAACAGCTGATCAAAATCATTCAAGAATTTTATTCTTACAGATTTTCTTTCAGGCTTTGAGAATTTTTCTCCCATTCCACACTTTTATCTTGATATTGATATCACTGAAATAAAGAAAAAAAAAGGGTCTTTAAATCTATGAAAGTTTTTAAATACAAAGTAGATCAATTCAAGAAAATATTTTAATAAACTGACTCACATACAACTTAATGTACACACAAAAGCTAATAACCACTTTTCTAGAATGTAATTTGTGTAACAAAATTAAGGGTTTATACTGAGTAACCTCTTACAATGTCAAACAGTTTGTGTGGCTTTTCCTAGGCACAGCATTGTCATTTAGCAAAGTATTACAAAATTACACAAGACATATTACCCTCATTCCTTAACAAGGAAAACTTTGTAAAATTAGATAGAAATTCTCTTTATGCTTCTTGATATTAAACACTGAGATTTTATTTCACTAAAACATAAAGTTACTTATTTCTTTGCATGTTACATGATGCCTTTATTTGACTTTTTATAATTAAGTAATTTTAGAGTATTTTTGTCACAACGAAGGACAAAGATAAGCCAACTGTTTAGATTCTTCTCCTTTATGTTGTGTCTTTGATCACTAACAATGCTGCGTGAACAGCCAACAGAAGGCTGACATTTCATAAAATATGCAGTGATAAAAACTAATACTGTAGCATCTGGGAGTGATATATAAAATGCAGAAATACACCTAATAACTGTGATCTTAAATTACAAGTTACTAAAAGCTAAATAAAAGGCATACCTAAGAACAAAAAAATAGCAAGATTACAAAAGGTTTTCTTATACCTCTCTTTCTAAAAACAAAGTTTTTAAAATAGTTTAAGTCCATTAGACTTTTCCTACTACTCTACAACTTAAAAGCCCATTACTTTCTAAGAACAGGGTATCTGTACCATACACCTCTCAACAACTGAAGAACATGTTACAAAACCACCAATGAAAGACCCTGTTCAAAATGCAGAGGAAGTTTTTCTTCTCAGATACTTAAAAATGTTATAACTGCTAACGAAGTAAAACAACACATAACTTTTATGACAAGATGCCAGAGAGAACGTCTAAAATAAAATTTAAAGTCCATAATAATCTAAACAAATATACTCTTAATACCAGTATTAATACATCCTTTCACAATCTAAGCCTTAAAGGCCTTGATAAACCACAGGAAGCAAGTAAAATGTGCTCAAATATGTTTAAATAATTCTACCTTTACTACTAAACATTTGTTTTTTAATAGTAAGAAGCAGGGAAATCACACAATAAACATAATCCTTTATTTTTACTTTTGAGAGCAAACATTTGAATTTATCTTCATAGCATTTGGTTTAATAGTCCACCTATATCCATCAAAATCACAGTCCAGCGGAAGTATCTTATTGTTTTTTTTAATATGTATGCTAAAGGGAAATGAAAAAACAAAGGCCATATTCAGCACTTCAAGAACTCTGAATTACACTTTGACTAAAGAAAATACACATTTAAGTATGTAGGAAGCAAGTGTCCTTGTGCTTATAATTAGCATCTGATTTCAGGGATTTTACTATTTAAGGCACACTCACTGCCTGTTATTCTTACCATGGCTTTTTATGTCACTTAATAGAGATAAATATTCTCTTCCCTTCTCATATTTACATCAATGATATTGAATTTTTCTAAAGCTGTTAAAATAGGCTAAACACCCATCTCAACATCACTCTTCATCTCCAACTGGACAAAGAATGGCATTACAAGACTGAGAACAGAGAAGGCATATTTACATTCATAATGTTCCTAACTGTAACATTTATGTAAATTATGTTTTTATATTTGCAAATACAACAATTTTTAGTTTCACTGCATATTTTGCCATTCTTTCAATATTAACTTGCTATGGTTATTACAACCTCAAAAAATCATGCCTATGAAATATGACATTGTTCAAGCCACCAGAAAAAAACACCTGAAGCTAAAATAACATATCTAAGAACAACATATCTACCTTGAATCTAATCTTATGCTCCTACAAAAGATAGCTTTAGTACATTAACTAAAAATTCCTAATTGAGTTTAGAAAATCTTCCTTTTGGAATTATTTTCATTATCTTTTAACTATTTCACATGAGTTTACATATCACATAAATGACATAAAATTCACTATAATTCTTTTAATGTCAGGTACCTATTAATCATTCTTTCCATTATGTTGTCTACTGAGTTTACCCAGATACACAGCATTACGTGTATTTAGAAGAATTAAGTTGGACCATTTGAAAACCTACACTTTCAAGAATAATTTACCCTATCAAAATTTATTTGTGAAGTAAGAAAAATTATAAATACCAATGACAGCAGAGGGAAAAAACAAAGGCAATTTTCTAGGTTTTCTGATTGTCAAAAAAAATGACAAACCACATTCCTCAACTGTAACTAAGTAGGTAATTATGAAATTAGCTGTAGAGCATCTTTCTCTTCCAGAATATAAAGTCCATGAAAGCTGAGTCCATACCTTTGTTGTTTAACTTTTTAATCAATGGTGCTTAAGTGTAGGCAACCAATTAAGATTTATGGGAAAAAAATAAGTGGGCATTTGTAATGAACTGTACTTGGCTAAGAGAGATTCAAAGAAATATAACATGGTCCCTGCTTTCCTAACACTTAAAATCCAGTCAGCAACACAGGACCTAGACCCAAGTAAAACACAAAAGCAAGTAATAGTACAAAATACTGAACAGGAAGTGCTTTGTGAGTAGCAACAAAGCAAAACAGGAATTCAGATGATGGTGAAATCACAGTAGAACCACTGCAGAAAGACTTCACAGAGGGGGCAAGACAAGAGCTGAAAGTTGGAAAAAAGTACGTTAAGATTTAGTGGCCAAAAAAAAAAGTAGAAAGGACATCATAGAGTAAAATGCAGAAAAGACATAAAACACTGAGAAATGGAAAAGGATATGCCAATATAAAAATATTCTCAGTATGTTGGGACTCTCCTGACAAAAATGAAAGCATTTTTGTTACTGGCCAGTGGAGGAAAAAACTAGCACAAATTTACGAGAGAACCTCAAATACCAGACTGGAAAGTCTAAATTTCAATCTCTAGGCAAAGTGGGGCCAATGAAGGTTCCTAAGCAGGAGATTGTCTGGGTAAAAGCAATGCTTTAGGAAGATTAATCTGACAGCAATGCACAGGACAGATTTGAGGATAGCGGGATACAAATTAAGAGACTTCTAACGTATTCCAGGAATAAGGCTGCAGAAGAGTCATCTAGGCTTTTGAGAATGCTATAGAACTGGCAGGAGCAAAAACTACTAAGACAATACATTGACTAATGAGATATAATGGGTAAGAGAGAACAAGACAAGAAATTCTTAGATCTAAGATAAAGAGCCTAAAGGATAACAGGAGGGAACAAAGAATGGCTGGATCTGACTGGAGCGAACAGGTCAGTGGCAAGACGATGCTTCCGGTTCCAGACATTCACTGTGAGGGGACAGAGAGATGGAAACATAAAAATGAGATCAAATGTAGAGCTATATATTTTAGAGTTCTCTGTGAATATGTAATAGTTTAAAATCTTGAAAAGAAGGGAAGAATAAAGGGCAGAGGCTGAAAATTATACTACACTAACAAAATCTATAAAATACACCTGAGGAAATTAACTAAAGTCAAATAAAATGGAATGACTAAGATAGTTCCAGTCCAGAAGGAATAACTCAAAAAAAGAGAATACAGGCCCATAAGAGAGTGCTTGCAAAAACTTTACCCAACATTGTTAAACAAACAGGGTCTTAGAATGTACTGCAAGGAAGAATAACTTTAAATATTCTGGGGTGTTTTTTTTTGAGAGAGAGGCTATGTTAGGATATTAACGAGAGACAAAAACTAAGTATCTGAGGAAACTAAAAAACTTTTAAACATATAATTTCTTATTGTTTTGTTTCACTAAAAGAAAAAGCTAGAACATTTTCCTTTTAGAAAGTCCTGATTCCATATTACATGCAAAGTAAATGTCCATACAAGATTAAAAGAAAAACACTTTCATGTGCTTTTTATGCTTTATATATCAATTATATTCACTTTCGTATTTTTTCGCATCTGCATTAGCTCTTATTACTACTCTCTCAAGTTTAGACCAGTATCCATATAAACTATACACTATATTTTTATATTTCTTAAATGCTATAAAATATTACAATGAGAAAAAAATCTAACAAGTATCGTACCTATTTTTAAAAATACACACACTCAGCCAGGCACGGTGGCTCACGCCTGTAATCCCAGCACTTTGGGAAGCTGAGGAGGGTGGATTACCTGAGACCAGGAGTTTGAGACCAGTCTGGCCAACATGGCGAAACCCCTTCTCTACTAAAAATACAAAAAATTAGCCAGGCGTGGTGGCAGATGCCTGTAATCCCAGCTACTTGGGAGGCCAGGCAGGGGAACTGCTAGAACCCAGGAGGTGGAGGCTGCAGTGAAGCCGAGATCACGCCACCGCATTTCAGCCCGGGCAACAAGAGTGAAACTCTGTCTCGGGGGAAAAAAACTAACACACACACACACACAATTTTTTGCATGGTACAGCCTACAGTAGAATATAGAATTCACAGGGAAAAAAAGAAATCAGGAAAAGCCCCACTCCCTCCCCCTACTTCACCATGGGCCTAAAACAGAAAATAACAACAGAAACTTCAAGAAAAGAGACCCAGCATGAAACAGAAATGTAAATGTAAACTAAGGCTTTAGAAAAACGTTTTCCAGAGTGTAACTTTATCTGAAGAACCCTGGGAATGGCTGAATTGTATCAAGATTTAGAATTCCAATGGAAAGGTTAAAGCTTTATAATGTATAATCTTTACCATCATACATGAAGAAGAGAGATGTTCATTCACCAGCACAAGGAATTGTTCTGATAACTTATATGAATGTACTCACTGTACGTGGGTGTCTAACTCTACCAAAAGATATTTAAGCTAACCAATAAGTCAGATATGTTCTTAAAAATGCTAAGTGGTTGTTTATGTGTGTTAGATTTTCTCTATGGCATATTAATGTACTTTTCCTGTATGATATAGTGAACTCAGTGATAATAAA